TCCCAGAGGTTATGTTTCTCCATATGCTGGCATCCATGTTGGATTTCTGCAGAGCATGGTGGGAATCTTTTATACCTTCTGGTCTCTGAGGTCCATCCCCCAGAGGGGTGTGGCTGATTACATATAAGCCTGTGGTCCGCACATGCCCTTTGCACTTGTGTCTTGTGTCTTTGTGTCGCTATAACTCTGTTCTGACTCTTGTGACTCTCCTGGAATCTGACTCGGTTTGTGACCTGACCATTCTTTGTGTTCTCCTTTGATCTGACCCTCCATTGCTGAACTCGGCCCGTGATTCTTGTCTGCTGTCCTGTACCGTTTTGTCCCGTTGTTGTTGACCCGGCCTGCCTGACTACTCTTTTGTCTTTTCCACCAGCTACACGCCATTGGCGGCGGCCATTACTGCAACTGAGGTGTCTCAGGTGCCGTGACCTGGTTCCTGGCTGCGTCAAGTCCATACCCACCATCAGGGGCCCTGGTGAAGGGCAGCCTGGGACTTAGACTCCGCGCCCTGGGGGACTTAGATCTGTGGATGGTGGTTGTCGCCAGCCAGTGCGTTACATTGTTTAGGCCTGCCTGTCCATTCCTCAGCTCCTGCCCTGACATTACACAAGTGCCATGAACCCTGATGGTGCAGGCACGCCTTCGCTCCCAACGCTAGTCGCCAGACTCGATCAACAGAATCACCTGTTGGATCAGTTCGCTCAGGCGTTGCAAACTCTGCTTGCACGCACTGTGCACCTTGCTCCTGGTGCTATTAGGCCGGTAGTCACTCCGGTGGCCGCTCCCGCTGCTTCTCCGCTGATTGCGTCCACCACCTCGGCTGCTGCATCGGCGGCGCCCAGAGGTATGACTGGTTCTGCCCCTCTTCCACAGCGCTTTGGGGGTGAGCCGAGTCAGTGTCGTGGGTTCCTCAACCAGGTGGGTATTTATTTTGAACTAATACCCCACGCCTTTCCGTCTGAGAGGTCAAAGGTGGGGTTCCTAATATCACTACTCTCAGACAAGGCCTTGGCCTGGGCAAATCCCTTATGGGAGAGGAACGACCCGGTGATTCAAGATTTTTCAGGTTTTGTCGATGCCTTCCGCAGGGTATTTGACGTACCGGCTCGTTCCGCCTCGGCGACCAAGCTGCTCATGACCATGCATCAGGGTTCACGGACTGTGGCCGAGTACGCCATAGAGTTTTGTACCCTGGCGGTAGAGGTGGGTTGGAACAATGAGGCTCTGGTGGCTGCGTTTTCCCATGGTCTTTCTGACACATTGAAGGACGAGATTGCAGCTAAGGAACTGCCTGTGGAGTTGGAGGAGCTCATCTCTTTCCTGATCCTGATTGACACCAGGCTCAGGGAGAGGCCTTCACTC